AGTTTTTGTTTTTGGTTTTTTTTTGCATTTTCGAGGTTCTGGCCATCTGGAGTAGACCATGCAAAAACCTCGAAAATCAAAAAAAAACAACAAACAAAACTGGAGAGCCCATTGGGGCTCTTGTCTGACTCTGTGGACATGTGGTCTGCAATTTTTTTTTTGTTTCTTTTTATTTTCGAGGTTCTGGCCATCTGGAGCAGACCATGCAAAAACCCCGAAAATCAAAAAATAAAAATTGCAGACCCCATTGGGGCTCTTGTCTGACTCTGTGGACATGTGGTTTGCAATTTTTTTTTTTTTGGATTTTCGAGGTTCTGGCCATCTGGAGTAGACCATGCAAAAACCTCGAAAAAACAAAAATCAAAATTGCAGACCCCATTGGGGCTCTTGTCTGAATCTGTGGACATGTGGTCTGCAATTTTGGTTGTCTCCTGTTTAGCCTTTCCTGGGTCCCTCTCCAAGGGTCTGATTTTTTGTATTTTCGTTGATGTACCAAAAAAGATACAAAAACAAAAAAATACAAAAATCAGACCCGTGTCTGAATTCACCATAAAGAACAAAACCTTACAAAAGAACAACTTTCACAAACCTATCAATGCTTACAAAAGAACAACTTTCACAAGCCTATCAATGCAAGAGAGATTGCTTGTTTATATTGTAATTTTCAGCATTTCAGCAGCAGATAGAAGGCTTTGAAGTAGAGAATGCAAAAAATGCGCGTTTCTACAATATGCATACTCTCCCCCCCCTCACCCCCCCTTCTGTATATTATATATTCATATTATTAAAATTTTCGAATAGATTAATTGAATTATTACATTGCAATTGGAATTAGATAATTTCAAGTTAATCGATGAATAATATATATTTTTATTGGTGAAATGACATTGAAATATTAATATATTAAATATAAATCATCAAATAAAGGATGTGAACTATGTAATTAAAGGGGCGGTCAAAAGTATGAATTTCTTGGCGGACAAAAATTTTATATGTATATATTATTGGTTAAAAATATTAAATTGATTAATATGCAATTATTTCTATATAATCCGTCTCCCCTATATTCCAGAAATCTGTTTCTATTCTTTAATGATTGGAAATGAATCTTTTTTGATTATATTTTAAATTATATATAATTTAGGAATGCAGAAAAATACTAATTGCGAAGAATAATATTTTGACGATAAAATCTTTCGTGCCAAATTCCTAAAAGCCAGAAATAAAATTGCTAAATTCGAAATGGAATTAGAACGAAATATTATTATTGCATCCATTTGAAGGCAAATATCGTTTTTGGGAATGGTATCGTTTTTTTCAATCCATATATATCTAAATATATTTTATTATAGACAGTAATCTTATAAATAATGATTAGTAATAATGGTCGTCGTAGTAGTATTTATATTAGTATTATACATTAGTAGTAAGTAATAAGGAGTAAGTGTAAGAAATAGGTAGTAGAAGTAGTAGTAATAGTAGTAGTAATAGTAGTAAGAGTAGTAGTAGTAGTAGTGGTAATAATAATTATTGTAGTAATATATAGTAATAACGATGGTGGTTGTGGCGAGAAATTAAAAAATAATAATATAAATATCATCACCAAAACAAAATAGAATATCTAATTAACATAACAAAACATATACAAATTAAACCTTAGACATACATTCTCGAATATCATTAATATCAATAAACAAAGATAAATTCTAAGATATATATCATTATAATATTAGATATTTTCAAAAAATCATATATATAATTCATTCTTATAGAAATATAAATGCCGCCTTATAAAATTTTGTTCATTTTGAAGATATATATATATGAAGGACGACGAGGCCTCCTAAAGCGAATATTTAATATTCATTCTTTTAAAATTTGTAAATTTTATAATGGTAAAATAATTCAATTGAAGCATATTTCTAATTATATATATAATATATATAAACATAATAATTATATTATACAATCTAAATATTAATTAAATTCAAATATATATTAATAATTTAAATAATTACATATAATTTTTTCATTATTAACTTTAATTTATATATCAATTTATATCGTATTTTTTAAATTATCTAATATAAAATATTAAATATATATATTTCTATTATATTTCAATAAAATACTATCCAAGATATCTATTATTTTAATATAATCATTATTTATATTAAAATATATAAATATATTTAATCCACGATCCGATCGACCAATAATTGTTTTATTAATATAAATATTACCATTACTACAAACTACTACTACCACATAACCGGCCGACCAATATTACTATTAATATAATATATATTAATATAATATTCAATATTAATAATTATATTTTAAATAAACATAATCAATTTTTAAAAGATTTATCTATTTATAACCATCAAAATCTTAAAATTTTTTAACAACGACGACCTCCTTTTTCTCGAGTATTCCTTTTAAGATCGGGGACCTCAACGATACATAATTCAAGTGTTGTCGAAAATATTCCTTTTAGATCCTAATTTATCAAATTTTCCTCGGACCGGCAGGATTTTTAATATTTAATTCAATTATTCAATATTGATTAATATTATTGATTAATTCAATATAGACAATTTATATATTTAATCTTTTGGCTTATCATGTCATTTATGCCTGAAAAATTACTAAATTTTCAGGATTTCATCCTTATAATTCCATAGGAAATCATTCCCATCAAAAGAGCCCAAACAAATGGCATCTCGACGTTCTGCGAGATGAGCAGCAAAAAACCTCCCTGTGCTACAAAAGCGCTGAGCCCAGCAGTCCATCGATCCGTGGCTTGGAATGGGATCAAAAGGCAAAGCAAGGCCAAGGGTACACCAACAGCCGCAGTCGCCCATTCTGCAAGCTCCCACACGTTCTCACCAAATCTGGACACACCAATAACTATACCTATCAGGTGCAGAATTCAAATTTTGGGTTGATTGGATTACTTTTTGGCCAGCCAGCTTCATCCAATTCTTCCATTTTAGATACCGTCTCCAGCCAAATCATGTCAACTCCAATTCTTTCTGCAAACAGAACGCACAAAGCTTGGTCATATCAATCCAAGAAACCAAGGGCCAGTACAATCGATGCAGTATCTGCCCCTGGAATTTGCAGCGTGAAGCGGAATCGCTGTGCTTGATTCGTCATGACCTTTGCACACATGAGGATGCTTGTGTCGACAGTATTCAAGGATTCCAAGATCAGAATTGCAACCAAAAGATGATCTCGGCCATGGAATTGACCAGGCAGCAACTGCTTCACTGTCATCCCGATGATCTCATCTTGTGATTCACACAGATCCATCTCAGCGTGCTTCAGCATGGACTTTGCCCAAATCCCAAGCACTGCAGGTGACAAGCCGATGCTTCCAAAGAGCAAGGCTGCGATGATGCAAGCGACCTTCGCCTGTCCAGGAGATCGAGCAGAAAGTATGCGACCTGCGAGCTCTTCAGTGAAGAGATTCCCAAAAAGGCCCACCGCAAACTTGTTGGCCGCCAGTGATGGCGCAACAGACCAGACGTGGACCTGAAGAGGGAGAAAGGCTGAGAGACTTGGAGTGTACACTGAGACAGTGGTCTTCAAAGATCTCATCATTGTTGAAACAACTCGCAACACATCGCAAAACTACGACTCGTCCACTTCACGAACGTTTCACTTGGTGATATCCGCTCCCACTGGACGGTGTTCCCCAACCTGTTCGGCTTCCCAAGCAGCATGTGGAGTTTCATTCACGGCCACGTATGCCAACAGGATCATCGTGGGAGCTACGATCAACATGGACAGCGCGTCCAGCCAAATGTCCGCCATGAGTCCACCAGCCACAAACCAAAGCAAAAGCCCAAGTGCAACTGAGGCTTCCAGAAATTCACTCGGAAAGAGGTTGAGACTGGCAGCGAGGCTCAGAATTGCTTTGTACTGGGCTCCTGAAAGCAAACGTTTCAAAATCGGCAGATCGCAGGATCCAAAGAACATGTCCAAAGCAACCAACCACTCGACTCCGTATCTTGAACTCTGGACGCCTTCCATCTTCTGTGTCTTGAACTCATGAGTTTGCTCGTTTTCCAAGAAGTCAACATTTGGGGCGAACCAAACAGCCAGCCCCTCCATGAGGACTCCTGCCCACAGCATGGAGCCAGTCAGCGATAAAGCTGAAGCCAGGCCGCCCACAACAGGTCCGAAGCGATGGATCATCACATCAGACATCGTCTCAAATGTGCCCACGAAAGGACTCAACAAGATCCCTAAGACCATCAAGCAAACCTCAAATAGCGCCAAAAAGGATACTTTTCACAGGCACATACTGCTACTGCAATGTCAAACCAACAGGATTGATGTCCAACAAATTGCAGGATTCTCCGTTTAGGTACTGTAAAAAATCAAACATCTTTTGAACCAAGTGTAGGAAGCAGAAGCGCCCAAAGGATCGAGGAGGATCGCAGGAAAGGCCTCAGAGTTCCATCCATTGAGGTCCACAGGTTCATTGCATCTTCAGGTGTTGCCGCCATTCTCTTCATGGACCCGAAACAAGTAGCCACAAACTTTGGCATCCCACCTGGTCAAATGATCTTTTGGGAGTTCCTTATATATATATATAAAACCATCCTCAACATGCCGTCGCACATCGAAACCATCCGTCTTGGAAGCTTGCGGACCAGGCCCTCACTTCCTTCCACACCCCGCCCTCCGGGGTCGTCCGGGTCGTCCGGAGCAACCGGCTCCCGCGGGTATTGGAGAGGCCGGGTGACATGGCCGCATGCCACCTCTCCAGTGAGGCCGGTGATGTTCTCAGAGGCCACCCAATTGGCCACCAAGCTCAAGGCAATGGACACCAGCAGCATAGCTTGGGAATTGAGGGAACCACCAAAAGGATCTGGTGGCGGTTTGGTTGGTTAACTCAAACAAAAAGGATGGAATATGTAAAATTAAAAGCACAAAATCGAGATAGTGCAAAATGGAGAAACGGTTTCCATTCTGCCTCTCGGGCCGCAAACAAAATGCCCATGTCTAGAGTTGAAACGAGATGAGACAATCACTCTGACAGGCGTTTTTGCGAATGGAGGCCCTTTTCGCAGCTTCAGAAGGTCACAAGTGTTGTAAACGTGGCATAAGGAAGGGTGGCAGTGATGGAAGTGGCATGAACCTGTGATGGAATTACAATGAATTACATCGTCGAAGATGGATCTTTGGGGAAAGACCAACGAAAAACTCTTGAAAAACGCGCAAGGAGGCACTCAAAATGTTCGTATCTTTTTGAGCGATGCACATCGCACATTCATAATGCTCCCTTGGTATTGCAGCTCGCCACTGAATTTGCCCCCATTCATTGACTGGAGCGCAATACATTACTGCAATTTGAGAGCCTGCTGGACAAGGACTTACATTCTATTTTCATTGCCCATCGTCATTGTCACACTAGAGCGACTGTCAACACTGCATCCTCCAGCGACTCTCATCTCTGGGACTAGCCGATCTTTGCCAACGGACCAGCCATCTGCTAAGATAGCTTCAAAGGTTGACAAAACAGGAAGGATACGAACCTCATGCTGATTTACCATTTATAGCTGAACAGAAAACGATCCATTGATTTCTGGACAAACAGGTTGAAAAACACTGGTTGTGGGGTCCCCCAATGGTCTTTATTCTTGTCCTCCAATGGTTCTCGGAGTGCTTGGCGGTGCTTGAAGACCCCCGAAACAAAAACAATCTGCAACCATGGTTCTTTCCGTTCTGCCACATCATTCGGTCCATCCTTCCAACCCCCTATGAGTACACTCGGTGCTGGATGGGCTGGCAGCATTTGATAGATTGTTCAACTTGCATGTCTTCCACTCTGTGTCAGCGTGAGGGTACTACCCATCGTAGGTCGGTAAGTGGATTGCTCGGGGCAAAGAACGAGGTGCCTTAACACCTCTTAAACCGAGCCAGAAAACACCCCCAAAATGCTGTGCTGATCTGGTCAACTCGTCAAGCTGCACTTGACATGATGAGTGAACTCCAACCTCATCTCACTCCACCAATCAAAAGGACCAAAAACAACACGTCTGCCAATCGAACGCCAAACCCATCCAAGAGACAACCTACAGTCAGACAAGAATGACTCGAAGAACTTGCTGCCTCTTGACTACAGTCAACATCTTCCAAGATTTCAATTTGCCTGTCTGACACCAAACGCAACTTTCGCCTTGGGCGCAAGCCACTCAAAGAATTTGTGGGAGCCAGCGAGTCCATCTGCATTGGAATATGAGATGTAAAAAGGATTGATCTGCACACTCTATACTCTGTGAATTCACCAGAATGAATGCTCAATTCAAGGTCGGTGGCCCCAGTGTTTCACAAAGTCAACAGTAAGCCTCTCCCACTAAGGACAAGTCGTTATGACACTTCCTGAGCTGCATGATGCTTCCAAGTCCAGATGGACCCAGTTGAGGCTACATGAGGCACCCGTTAATTAGAACAAGCCCAATCGATGAGCGTCCAGTGGATAGTCGCTGGCCAACAACTCAAGGCTTCCATCTGACAGATCTCCATCCTGCGTGCGATTGATCCAACTGGGCCAGCACCTGCAAACCGCACTCTTTCAGAATATGGGAAGCCGTGAAGCCGTGGCTGTTTGAGGGCCTACAAGGCCTGGAAGTGGGAAAAAGGGACGTATTTCAGAGCCTACAAGGCCAGAACCAGGGAGACCGCGCCTTGCAGCCAGGGAGATGGGGATCTGAGCCCACTTCAAAACGAGTCCAAACGATTGGAGGGTCCACCCTGCCGTTGGTCCAATGCCTGGAAAGGCTAAAGCGTTGTGCCACCCATGCCACCATTTTTGCCACAATCTTGTTCCACCACCCCGTCACTGTTGGTGAATTCTGCAGATTAAGTGGTCGTCGCCCTTCATTCAGTGCAGTGGAGGCAGATTTGCGTTGAGACATGGACAAGCGTGGACAAGATCCACACTGCATCGATATTTGGAGGATTCTTCATGCTTTCGCACCACCATAGAGTTAGGTTCCAAACCAAAGAAAATAGACCTTCAAGTCTTTGTTTAAACTGGATTCACACGTCTGTCTTCTCCAACCTTCAGCTTCACCTCCAACCCTTCCAAGCTCCTTTCTCAGGACGCCTCCACCCCGTCCCGTGCACCGGGTCCTCCGATCGGGGCGACCAATCCGCGGGGCAAATGATCCGCGGCACCGTCCATGAGGTCACTGGCAGCGGAGGATCCGCCGCACGAGGACTGGCACCTGGAGGCGGTGGTGCTCATACGGAGGCTGCAATTTCGTGGCCGTTCTGTAGGGACTGGTGGTGTCACCCGGGGAAAGTGTCCAAGGAAATCTCGGATCCGAAAGGGATTCAGGTTTGTATACTTCGGATCGTTGTTCATGGTTACCAGTACTTTGTTGGCAATCTTTTTGTTTTTTTGAAGTGTTGGAGACCTGGGTGTCCGCCTCTTTTGGAGACAAATCCATCAGCCTCAAGCTCAGGGGACAAACCTAACTGGTGGTTCCAACTGTTGAACCTTGTTCAACGTAGCACATACTGTAGTTACTACACGTCTTTGCTTAGGGGCACCTGTAGTCGAACATCCACAGTCACCCAACACACCAAAGGCCTGCAAATGCAGGAATGGCCGCAATGTAGCATACTGGATCCCGAAATGGATATTCCATTGTCAAGAGTTCTTTTCACCCGGCTTCCTGTTGGGCCAAAGCTTTAGAAGTGTTTGTGTATGTTTTTGTACTATATGTGTACTGTACATATGCGGATGTGTCTTTTGCAATCTTTTGGACATGTTCATTCAAAGGAAGACGTATGGACGGACATCTTTAGAGGGTACCGGGTACATCCCCCTGCGGACATGAGTCAATGGGACCCAGTCGGATCGATGGAACCATCTACGGAGCAGCGAATCCATCCTACGGAGTGCTCGGAGAGCCAACCCGACCCGCTGAGTGGGAGGGGAACCTGACGACTTGGAGCAAGGAGGGTGGTGTTCCCTTTGCGAATTGGTGGAGACACGGAGATGTGCTCAAGTTCTAGAGAATTAGTTCACACATTGTCAGAAGGCAGAGAGTCTCAAATGTTCATCAAACACATCCGACCATCGAACCACACACCCATGAACACTTCGACCACAGGCAAAAGGCATGACGTGTCGTAAGGCACTTCATCTAGGGTGCCCAGGTCGTGAGAAACTTGCGACAGGAAGGGCGACAAAGAAACAACTTAATCATATACAATATATATATAGTTATATATGTATATATATATACCTATGATCTAAAGGAATCGTTGTCTTTCCGTCTTGATGACATCGTTGTATCCAAATCAAATCAAGCTTATTGGCTGCAAAGATTTATGTGCGCCTGCCGAAACATCCTGCAACCCAACGGACATGATCAATCATGCACCATCCAGCAGCTACCCAAATGCGACACCTGCCGAGCTAACTACCATGCATGACCCGTGTGTTTGTTGTGCCTCTACATGAATGCATGAACAACCCAACTCCATCCCAACTACCTCATAACTGTGTCATGTCAATCCCGGATTCCAACCCCAATTCCAACCCAAATCAGCAAGATCTTCTCCATTCCGACGGCAGGAGGCCTCCTGCGGTGTCAGCGCTGTCCCGCAACTTTGGCAGCTCCAGCGGCTTCGATGCAATCTCAGAGTCCCCCACCGCCTGAGAAAGCGTTGGAGCAAAGCAATGGAGCATGGAGCAATCACACGGTGTGATGACAAGCAGTTGACGAAAAACCAGGTCAGCGAAAGAGGGTCACACACCTGGACAAATGAAAGGGAGCTGCCAAGCTGCTTGGGGCCACCCTGTGAAAACAACCGGTTCTTCTTTTGCGGGCCACATGAGCGACCTAAAGTATCCTATGGCGAGCTTGCTTGGAATTCAGCTGCCAAAGAAATGGTGTTTTGGTGCAAACAGCTCCCATGAACATCATCCAAGCGACAGCATCTTGAAGCACTGGCGCCACTTGCAGTCCAGTGCTCACCGTTCGGTTCTGTTGCATTGGGCTAGTAGCAGCATTTGCAACTGAGACCTCACGAGGGATACAACAACAACTCATGCTCTCGGACACATTGCCCCCCTACGTTGGTTCATAGACGTGTTCTGTACATATGTATATATATATATCTACAATCATGATTCGAGGATATTCGAGGTCTGTACTTGAGTGCAGCAACATGACCTACCAAACCTGTCAACCAATTCGGGATTGTTTCTGTCCTTTCAGCTGTGACCAACATGACTGGTCAATCTAACTCCATCTCGGGAGCCTCAGAATCGCCAACAGCAGCATCTGCCTGTCAGCAATCTCCCAAATTGAAGCCTCTACAGTAGCTTAGCTAGCGACATCAGCCACTTGACTCTTGACCCACTTGACTTGTCTTGACACCAGCAAACCCATGGAAACACCCAACAACAGTTTGGTTGGTTGAACCCTACCAAAAACAATGCTAATTACAGTAGTTGAACAATCCAAAGTTTGAATCCATTCGAACATCAACAAAAATCTTCTGGACTCTTGGAGCCTTGATCGCTGGCCGAATCTCCGCTTTGGGCACCATGGTCACGGCATCCGATGGCGTTCCCACGGGTGCCGGTGTCACCGGTGTCACTGGCACCGGTGCCGCTGGTATCACCGGTACCGGTGCGATGGGTTGCGGAACGGCGGTTCCCACCGCGACCGGTGGTGGGTCCCGCGGGTCGCGGGCGACCAGTTGGACCAAGAGGTCCTGCACCGTTTGCAGCTGCTGCTGGAGCACACCCAATTGCTGCTGTTGTTGGCCTTGGGAGTTCGTAAGGGAGAACCAGCGAAGAAGCTCAGTCACAAGCAGCTTCAGAATTGCCTCTGGCGTGATTCTAAGATTGTTCAAATATGATCGAAAATCACCCTCGCATGTCCATCTTGTCATCAATTTTTTCTACTCATCATCAGCCATTTCATCGCACTTCCATGCTTTTCTTACTTTTTCATACTTTTTCACACGGCTCAGACTCGTTTCGACCGAGTTCTTGAGCCTCATCCTCTTCGTTTTGCCCACACTGGGGCCATGACCCACAATATGCCACAGAGGGATCTCTTCCCGTGATCCATCAGACCTGTCGGATGAACTAGGCAGTCAATGTACCGGTCACTTATTAGGAATATACCAAAGGTCAAACGAAGGGAACCGCCTAGATGTTCCATGATTTTCCTGATTCTTGAACAGTCTGGGTGATATTCCGGGATGGGAACATAAATGGACCCATCCGATGATTCTCCGATCTGTTCGCTCTCGACGCTCTCGAAGCCCACCTCCTTGACAGGCTACTCGGCGGCGATGATTCACCTCACAGGTTGGCGATATGGTGTCCTGGGTTCTCACACCTTGCAATACATGCACAGGGAGGCTAGCGAAACTCTCCAACCTCCACACTTAGAACATCAGGTAAAACCCCACACTTAGAACAGCAAAGTTCGCAGGGAAACAACACCACACATAGAAGATCTTGGTGGACGCTGCTTGCCCACATGTTGACTCAAACAAAGTGTGCACTTCTAACA